ATATTTTATTTAAAATTTTTATTAACATTATTGTGTTTGTTCAGTGCTTTTGTGATTATGCAATTAAAGTTCTTTTCAATATTGTTACTCTATTCTCATACAGAATACTCTGATTTTCCTTTCGAATTTTTTTTGTGATTGTAAGAATGATACATGCTCTTTGTAAAACATTCAGATAATAACAGAAATAGAGAATGCCAAAAGAGGATGCTTCCCCAAAATCTTATCTTGGTTGTAGTGTACATTACTTTAGGTTAATTAAACATACAGTCACTTTCTAACTTGCTTAATGTCATAGACTGAATTGTGCCCCCAAAAATATCTGTCAACTTGGCTAGTTCATGGTTCCCATACGACTGTCTACCATTTTGTCATCTGATGTGATTTCCCTATGTGTTGTAAATCCTATCACCATGATGTAATGAGATGGATTAGTGGCAGTTATATTGATGAGATCTACAAGATTAGATAGTGTCTTAAGCTAATCTCTTTTGAGATATAAAAGAGAGAAGTCACCAGACAGATGGGGGACCTCATACCACCAAGAAAGCAGTGCTGGGAGCAGAGCGCGTCCTTTGTACCCGTGATTCCTGCACAGAGAAAACTCCCAGACCAAGGGAAAACTGATGACAAGGACCTTCCTCCAGAGCTTACAGAGAAAGCCTTCCCCTGAAGCTGACACCCTGAATTTGGGCTTGTAGTTTACCAGACTGTGAGAGAATAAATTTCCGTTTGTTAAAGCCATCTGCTTGTGGTATTTCTGTTATAGCAGCACTAGATGACTAAGACACTTATGTCTAAGATGTTTTGTATTTCAAGTACCTTGTTTTTTTTTAAATGTTGTTAGGTGCCATCAAGTCGGTTCTGGCTCATAGTGACCCTATGTACAACAGAACAAAACACAGCCCAGTCCTGCACCATCCTTCACAATTGTTGCCATGTTTAAGTCCATTGCTGCAGCCATGGTGTCAATCCATCTCGTTGAGGGTCTTCCTCTTTTTTTCCTGACCCTCTGCTTTACTAAGCATGATGTCCTTCTCCAGGGACTGGTCCCTCCTGATAACATGTCCAGAATACTTGAGGCAAAGTCTCACCATCCTCGCCTCTAAGGAGCATTCTGGCTGTACTTCTTCCAAGACAGATTTATTTGCTCTTCTGGCAGTTCATGGTATATTCAATGTTCTTCACCAACACCATAATTCAAATGCATAAATTATTCTTTTGTCTTCCTTATTCATTGTCCAGCTTTCACATGCATATGAGGCAACTGAAAATATGGTTTGGGTCTGGCACACCTTAGTCCTCAAGGTGATTGCTTTTTAACACTTCAAAGAGGTCTGTTGCAGCAGATTTGCCCAATGCAATACACTGATTTCTTGACTGCTGCTTCCATGAGCATTGATTGTGGATACAAGTAAAATGAAATCCTTGACGACTTCAATATTTTCTCCATTTATCATGATGTTGCTTATTTGTCGAGTTGCGAGAATTTTTGTTTTCTTTATGTTAAGGTGTAACCATACTGAAGGCTGCAGTCTTTCATTTTCATCAGTAAGTGCTTCAAGTCCTCTTCACAGCAAGGCTGTGTCATCTGCATGACGCAGGTTGTTAATGAGTCTTCACCAATCCCAGTGCCACGTTCTTCTTCATATAGTTAGTCCAACTTCTCAGATTATTTGCTCAGCATACAGATTGAATAAGTATGGTGAAAGGATACAACCCTTACGCACACCTTCCCTGATTTTAAACTATGCAGTATCCCTTTGTTCTGTTCAAATGACTGCCTATTGGTCTATGTACAGATTCCACATAAGCACAATTAAGTGTTCTGGAATTCCCATTCTTCTCAATGTTATCCATAACTTGTTATGATCCACACAGTCGAATGCCTTTGTGTAGTAATTCTAGAGATATGAGGAGGATGTATAGATTCGTTTCTTAGTGGCCTCACAGTAACATTTGGAGTTTCTAAGCTGTTCCTTAAGGTCCTAAAGACTGCAGGACTCCATAAAAGGAGGACACCAAGTACATGGGGCTGGAGAAGGGTCCCCTCTACACTTCTTCGACCACTGTTTAAGAATTTAAATATAAAAGGAAAATCCACTGTCCATCAAAAGACATTGTGAAGGGTCACTTCAAAACCCTATTAGTAACATATGTCCACACAAAAACTTATACATAAATGTTCATAGCAGTATTATTCGTAATAGTCAAAAAGTAGAATCAACCCAAATGTCTATCAATGCCTTTCATTTAGCAGCCAACTTGCATTAAGTTTGCACCACCCAGGAACTCTTGGGACTAGGGATATAGCAGTGAACAAAATTAAGTTCCTGCCTTCATAGAGCTTACATTCTAGAGAAGATACAAATAAGTAATTTGTTTGCTAAATGAATATAGAGATGTTTCCCTTATTTCAGCAAGTCTTCTTTCACCCTCTTATGGATTAAAATTGCCTTCCCCCCCCTCCCCAAAGTATGTGTTGGAATTCTAACCTGTGAGGTACAGGACCTAGTTTTACTCTAAATAAGGTGGCTTTTGTCCTTGGCTCTGGAGAAATAACTCTTGGTGTATTGGAGTGCCTCGGTCTGGTACTTCAGGCCACAGCTCAGGATTTGTGCTAGCAAGTGGGGGTTGGCCAGACCAGAAAAAAACCAAGAAGGCTGATTTCAGCTAGCCTCAGGAAGCATGATTTAAGCCTATCAAAGAGTTTTCTGGTTGGCGGAAGGTAACATGCTGTCTCTTTCGATGCGGCAGCTTTCATATTGGGAAACTTCCCAGACCTCGTCCTTGCATCTCTTCCTTATGATGATCCTGATTTACATCCTTTTGCTATATAACCACTACTGGTGGTACAGTGGTTAAGTGCTTGGCTGCTAACCAAAAGGTGGGTGGGTTGAACCCACTGGACACTCTGCAGGAGAAAGATGTGGCAGTCTGCTTCCATAAAGATTTACAGCCTTGGATACCCTATGGGGCAGTTCTACTCTGTCCTATCCAGTTGTTGAGTTGAAATTGACTCCATGGCAATAGGTTTGGTTTTCTGGTTTTTCACTATAATAAAACCAGTAGTTATTAGTACTCTCCGTAAGGTCTGTGAGCTGTTCCAGCGAATTAACAAACCCAAGGACAGTGTCCTGTATTTCATAAGGTCTGACCCAGCCTCAGGTGGCTAGGGAAAGAGTGTGCCCTGTGGGCAGCTGGTGTCAGAAATGATGGAGAAGTGGGAAAGCAGGGATATGACTGATCTCTCCTGAGAATGCTACCGTAGTATATAACCCCTATACCTGTGGGAAAAAAATGGTTTGTGGATTTTTCAGAGAATTATTTTAAGTGTAATAAATACTATTTATAAGATCCTATTATTTGAAGCAGTTTATCTCCAGAAGTTATTTAATGCTGAGAAAACCAGAATCAGAAGAGTGAATTGAGAACAGATAACTTCTGCAACTAAGTTTTTCCTTCTTTTTCTTTGCCCCAGAACTTTGAAAAGATAACACACTGATTACTAACAGAGTTTAAGATAAGCATAATTAAATTCTTTGACTCCCTTAGTAAGTTGTCATCTTTTTTGATTTTCACAGAGATATTCAGGCACTAGTTATTTTGTATACCTAAGATTGTAGAACCTACTCTGAGAAGGCAGGGTTGATGTCAGGCATTTTTTCTTTAAACAAAAAACTGGTTCTAGGACTACTGATTCAACCTATGGACCAGTGTTAAGATTACATTTTATTTCAATAGAGATTCATGAGCTTGACATTTTGGTGCATACTATGAGAGAAGCTAAAAAAACTGTGTCCTGCTATCAGTTAAACACGAATGGAATGATAAAATGTGGGTTTTGAAGTAAGCCCTTTGTTAAATAACCTTGGAAAATACTTGACAAATACTTGAAGTGGGGCAGGGTGTATTTTTCACATTTGATCAACAAATTGTAGAAGAAAGATTAAGGAAGTACCAGGAGGCATCAAGGAATAATCCTTAACATTTCTTAAGCAGCTGCTGATGATCTCTATCTTATAGAGGTACAAACAGGCTCAAAGAGGCCATATAAAAAAACAAAAACCAGTTGCTGTCGATTCCAATTAATGACAACCTCATGTATGTCAGAGTATAACTGTGCTCCATAGGTTCTTTTCAATGCCTGTGACCTTTCGAAGTAGAATTCCTTTTTTCTGAGGTATCTCTGGGTGGATTAGAACTGGCAACATTTTGGTTAGCAGTTGAGTGCTTAACTATCTGAGCTACCCATGGATTCAGAGGTTGTACACTGATAGTAAAGAAAAAGATTTTCTAGAAGGTGAGAAAATTGTTCCTATTTACTAATTAATTCAGAAAAAAGATTAGTCCTTTTATGTCTTCAACCAATCACATGTTGTTATTCTTTTATTCTGAGAATGAGGCAAATGGAAGGTAAGGAGCAAGTTCTAGACCAAGAATAAGAAGTATTCTTGAGGTTGACTAAACACTAATGATTGCCTGGGACCCTACGTTGAGGATTTTGAAGATCTATCCAGACTCAAGGGGCAAGGCATGCTGGGATCATTTTATAATGACTACTATGCACAAGTGCTGGCCCTGTCCTAGGGGATTAGTTTGTTTTCATTTAGATATTCCAATTATAGGAAATAAAAACAAAATTTCTTAATAAAAAGTACCAGTTCATGTATTTAAAAAAAAAAAAAAAAGTTCCAATTCATGCTTTTACTGACAAAAAGGACTTGCTATTTCTGCTAGGAAGAGAATGGGCTAGGAGAAACCACTTTTAGCTTCGCAAACCTAACATGAATGACCAATGTATCCTATACTAAAAACAATCCTGTACTAAAAGGAATCTTCCAGTGAATTCTGGAAATTTTTTTAAAGCTAAGAGTGCAGTCGTTCCTAATCTTTCTAAGAACATCTACATAACAATAATTTTTAAAAGTCTGTCTACAGCCAAGTCTGGGCATACCACCTAGATTCACAGGCACAATTCAGTAACTCTGAAAATTCTCAAGAGGCTCTGGCTCGCAGAAACTATTAATCCAAATCAACCCCATCTTACAGATGAACAAACTGAGGCCAGAGAGGAAAAGAAATCTCATACTCATTTAACAAGTTTAATGACAACACTAAAAAATCATTAACGTATAAAAAAAGATTATGCAGAGATGCTTTCTGGTACCTAAAGTGTCCTTTATTCTACAATATTGTCCCAACTGGGTTTTACTATTTTCATACTAAAAGCGTGAAATGCTCAGGTAACAAATTAGTAAATAAAGGAATGACAGTACAGAAAATATATTTAATAATGTGAAAACCAAAGATCAGGGGAGATCCAAGAGGGTAGGAAAAGCTATAAATAGCTCTTCCTCAACAACAAAAGATCTAGAAATACCCAAGGGAGCTACTCTCTTGAGCCATATTCCTTCAGATTCCAGGGACCATATTTAATAAGCACACCAGCCAAGAAAGGCCAGCAAAAGGTTTAATGTTTTAAAATATAAGCAAATATAGACTTATTTTGTATTTTACAGTGTACTAATTTCCTTAGATCCATTAAAATAGAGAATATTTGAGAAAGATCATTAATAAAAGTAACAGTCACTCAATCCGAATTAATGTTAGACACAAAAGTATTTGAGTAGCTAGTTTCTTAAACTTCATAGAAAACCCACTATAATCTCAAATGCTTATCATCATAAGCACATAAGAAATACCCTAATACTAGAAATGGTTATTCAAATGTTAGCAAGGTGCTATGGTCCTAAAACAGGCTACTTCCAAAGAGTCTAATAATTATGGATTATCATTGTAACTATACAAATGTAATACAGTAAACAGAACAGTTATATACGTGAGCCATATTTCATGCTGAGGTGATCATGAAAATGAGGTGATCACTGTACATTCATTTCCAAAGCTTCAACGATGTGTGCTGCAGAAGGACGATCTTTGGGATCCTCATTAGTGCATACAGAGAAGAGTTCAATTACTTTCTGGTATGATTCACCCAGCTCTTCCGTATTAACAGGGGGCCTAGTTCCCAAAGCTGCATAGTATGCTTCATCATCAAAGTCACTTTCATCAAAAGTTTTATCTGTTCATGAAGGAGTTGGAGATTGAAACAATAAACAAAATCAGTTTAAGTCATGGAAAAGCTTAGTGTCTGCTCAAGCTCACACTCCTGCAACTAGAATTCATCATCCAGTATGCTTTCCATTATATTCTAAGCAGTCTCTTAAATTGTCCTGCCATCAGCGTAGATTAGCTATTGTCTTTGATTTATGGGTCATTAGCCCCTACCCCTTTCTTCATAGTTTTCCAATCTTTTCCTCAGGCAAAAGGAGTTTTTACAAATTTTTGCTCTTACGGATTTTCTCATAGCTCCCTATTCTCAATCAATCCACATCTCATTTGTATGAGATTAAACCTAGACAGTACCTAATAGTCATCAGTGTTAATATAATCTATATCTTAGGAACTATGTCACTAAATCAAACAACTTGCTGTTTACATTTTAACTTAATAGAAAAATAATATATGATTTTATAAGCTAATCTTTAAAGTAAAGACATTGGATTTTAAAAATATATATTCATACCTTCATCATCACCATCATCTGAAAGATTAGTGTGTGGAATAGATAAAGTCATCATTTCCCACAGAGTAAGCCCAAAGGCAAATATGTCTGCTTTGTCAGTAATAATACCATTCTCCTCCAAAGCTTCCTTGGGTTTCCATGGCTCAGTGCCAATATAACAGGCCTCAGGGTCAGTCACTGAAACAGTTAAAATAGGTAAAACAGTCGTAAGGGAGGCACTATAAAGAAGAAAGTCAAGCAACTCAAAGAAAAATGGGCAAACAATTTGAACAGACTAATAAATGTAGGCAATAAACGTGAAAATGCACTCAACCTCACTGATAAGGATTACTTTCTTCCTATCAGGCTGGTAAATATTCAAAAAGGTGGTTAGTTAGCAAGGATGTAGGGAAACAGGAATTCTCTTAGAAAAGTAGTAGGAATATAAATAGAGTGTGGATGTTAACAGTACAGACTCTGGAGCGAGATTGCCTGGACTCAAAGACATTTATTTGCAAGCTGTGTGACCTTGAACAGAGCACTTAATTTCTGTGACCCAGTTTCTTCATTTTTTTGAACTATGTCATGTCATTAGACTGAGAGGCACCATCTCTATGCTTCCATAATTTCTGAGTCAAGGGAAGGGTCAAATCACATATTGGTATTTAAAGCTTCAGCCCAGGAATGACATAGGTCCACTCCTATTTCCATTTAAATTTTAGAGTCAACTTGTCAAATTCAATGAAGAAGCCAGCTGGAATTCTGACTGGGAAGGCACTGAACCCCTAGATCAATTTGGAAAGAATTAACATCTTAACAGTAACGAGTCCTCCAATTCACAATCATGATTTATCTCTCCATTTACTTAGATTTTATGTAATTCTCTCAGTGATGTGTTATATTTTTCATTGTAGAGGTCTTAGACTTCTTTTGTTATATTGATCCTTAAGTATTTTATGTGTTTTTGGCACTTGTAAATGGAATTTTTAAAAATGACACTTCCCAATTATTTGCTGCTATTATCATATTTTTACGCCAATAATGTAACACCTTCTACATTTGTTTGCCATCTACCCCACTGTGAAGTATTTTCATAAGTTCGCTATGTTATTTTTTTTTACAACATTAAAAAATTAGCACAGCAGCACTTCTGAAAATAGCTGGGGGGAAAGGGGGACGAGTGGTTGGCAAACAAATGTAGAAGGCGTGCATTATTTGCCCAAAAAATACGGTCTATAGAAATACAATAGCTAATTTCACTTATTAGTTGTAGTACTTGTTTTCTAGATTCCTTGGAATTTCTACCTAAACATCCTATCAACTGCAAATAGGGACAGTTTCATTTCCTTTCCAATCTTAATGCCTTTTATTTGTTCTTCTTGCTTTATTTTAATGCCTAGGACTATAAGACTGTTAAATAGCAGTAGCGAGAGCAGGCATCCTTACCTTATTCCCTCTGTAAGTATGGTAATTAGCTGTCAGTTTTTTGTAGATACCCTTTCTCAGGCTAAGTTCCCTTCTATTTCTAGTTAACTGTGAGTTTTCATCATGAATGGGTGTTGGATTTTGTCAAATGCTTTTTCTGTATCTATTGAAATGACTGTGTAGTTTTCTTTTTAAGTCCATTAACCTAGTTTAGAATTATTTCCCAAAGTTATCTTCAATTAAAATGTACATTAATAAGAAATCAATAATTTCTATTGTGTGTATAGCAGGGGAGGGGACTGGAGGCTGAGTGGAAGACAGACAGGAAATGGAGATTTCATTATATGCTTTAAAAAAGTTTCTGATTTTTAAATCATGTGAATTTATTACCTATCCAAAAATAAAATAAAATAAGAATTACAAATTTAAAAATTTTATAAAAACAAAATTTTAAAAATCAGACTACTACTAACCAGTCATATTTTCATCCAATGGTAGGGAGACTCCAACATCACAGATTTTAATAGTTTCAAAATCACCTTTAATTACAACATTTGAAGACTTTATGTCCCCATGAAGCAGTTTCTTTTCTTGATGCAGATACTAAAACAGTGAAAAATTTAACACGTATGAGCGGAAATACCAACTAATAAATATGATTATGTTAAAACAAAAATGACAACTTGAACTTCCTTTCTAAACTACAGGTTTATATATGCCCATCATTTCAAATTATCTGAAGCCAGAGAAGGAAATGTTTCATGTTATCTCAGTCTGCTATACTGACCAGAAATCTAAAAGATTCTCTAGAGATAGATGTCTATTTATAGATAAGTTAACTTTTATTTTCAAACCTATCACATACATTTTTTATTTTTATATCAAAAGATGCTATTGAAGATTTCAAAATATACTGCAATTTTACTTGAGGCTAGTAATTTTTAAGAAATAATTTTGGAATCTTCACAATGAGGCATACTTCCCACAAATTGTAGGGATAAATTGGGACAACAGATGAAATAGGGCCACAACATTAAGTTCATAAGCAGAAGAGGAAACAGAAATGTAATCTATCTCTTGTTCCACACATTAACACCTTCTTGGAACTGACAAATAATACTACCTACCCACAAGCAAAAAAGTTCTAAAAACTGTTATTTGTTCATCAGCATTTCAGCATCTACTCTATGAGCTGAGCTTGGAAATGATACAGAGGCAATTCTTGGTATACACCTGCTCTTTATATAAGAACACTTAATGTGCTTAATTTAAATTTTGCCAAACATAAATTGAATATCCCCAAATATATTTACAATGTGATTTATTAATTCTATTATACATACACATTTTAAATTATTATTTATTAAATAATTAGAATTATTAATTTAGTTTAGCCCATCTAGCTAAAATCATGGTTTCTCTATAAAAGTATTAAAAACATATTTAGAAATATTGCCTTTTTCCAATCTCATGTTTTATAAATTAATTTTATCTGAATTCTTGACATGCAACTTTATCATCAATATCATCATTATCTGATCCACTTTTGAGTCATCCAACAGTTTTCCAGACCTATCATCACTTTTGGTTAAGTTGGTTAGGATACTGTATATTTTTATTCTATATATTGTTTCAAAAAAATTTTGGGGGGGAATTTTTATGTAAAGGTGTAATAATTCATTTGCATAACAAAGAGCTTTTTTTCACTCGATTTACAGATGTATATTCATGCTGCCCAAAACTTAACATTCCATAGATCTTTAAGAGACTTTTTTACATCAGCATGGGATTAGGGGCCAGTAATAATTATTAAATTTGAGTTAAATTTATTAACATTTTAAATGAAATCTAACAGGCAATCTCTGTAAGTAAGTACCTGTCTGAGGTTATTTCAGGCTTATGTTGGGTCCCTAAACAATACTCTACTGACCAAAATAAAGAATAGTACACCTGCATTATAAGAGACTATAAAGACTTTAACATAAGGCAACTAACTCCCTCTTCTGGGGGAAAAAAAAAAATCCCATGTTGTAATTAGGTATATAAGGTATTTAGTTTCTTCATATTCCACAAAAGTCATTTAAAATATAATGGCATAGTTACCTTTAACCCTCTTGCCATGTTCAGAGCAACTTTTAAAATTATGGCTGCAGGAAAAGGGTTATTGCTGTCTTTACTTCGTTCTTCTATTAAGTCATTTAGAGACTTTTCACCTCCATATTCCATAGCAAGACATAGACTACCATCACTGGCTTCAGTAAAAGCACGATAACCTTAAAGAAAATGGAAAAGAAAAAAAAATTTTCTACTAGAATAGTTAAGAACAAGAGTATTTAAGTTTTTTACAGTAAAGTGATTTGAAGACATATCTGAACTAACACTGAGAATGAACAGCTGTTACTTAAAATATTAAGTCATTAGATCAAATTTAAAATGTCTTCAAAGTTTGTCAATAGTACCACAAATTAAAATATTTTTTAAAACTCTATGCTTCCCTAATAGTTTTACCAGCTCTATTGTATAAAAAAGGTAAAATGAAAACCAGGAAATTAGCTAAATGAAGATCATTTTATATTCCTGAAGTCTCCATAGTACCAGCACCATAATGATTATGTCTATTTCCATCAAGAGTAGAAGTGACCCATAGCTTTCAAGGAGCAGCTGGTGGATTCGAACAGCTGACCTTTTGGTTAGCAGCCGAACACTTAACTACTGTGCCACCAGGGCTCCAAATATATAATTATACATCTAAAAATATTGTGTACTAATTTGTATTTTAAAATTTTCTCAGTAATTTAATTCCTGCCAACTTCTATACCATCCCACACCCATCTTCTTCATTTTTATTAGTGAAACCAGTTGAGAGATTATATAAACTGTTTCTGGATAAACAGTATATTATTATACCAGATACTGCTACCAAATAAAATTTAAACTTACCTACAATGTTTGGATGATGAAGGTTTTTCAAAATCTTAGCTTCATCAGTTAGTCTCTTTTGATACATATTTTGATAATGATCATTACATTTAGAATTAATTTTTTTCACAGCCCAAGGAGAATGAGACAAACCTCTTGGAGACCTAAAAAAAAAAAAAAAAAAAAATCAAAAAGTATATAGAAAACAATAAACATAATACATTTCCAAATGATTAATAAGAATTTCTAAATTTTGAAAAGCTACTGATAGTCATTTGTTTTAAAACAATATTTAAAATATTTTTTACTATCATCACCTCTGCTACGTTTCCTTTTCAATTGGAAGATATATTTCTGTTAGACTGGGAGAAATTTGTTAGTAGCCCTGGTGGCACAGTGGTTAAACTGATTGCCTGCTAACCCAAAGGTCAACGGTTCTGTGGGAGAAGGATGTCGGCAGTCAGCTCCCATAGAGATTTATAGCCTGTGGGATCACTGTGAGTTGGAATCAAGTTGATGGCACTGGTTAATATACTGAAAGGGAGAGGATAAAGAGAGAACTAAAAGGATAAGCATGGAATTTTAAACTTGAAATTTTAAATTTGAAAATTACTATGTTTTTGTTAGGTGCCGTCAAGTCAGTTCCTACTCATAGCGACCCTATGTACAACAGAACAAAACGCTGCCCAGTCCTGCACTATCCTCACAATTGTTATGCTTGAGCCCATTGTTACAGCCACTGTCAGTCCACCATGTTGAGGGTCGTCCTCGTTTTCACTGACCCTCTACTTTACCAAGCATGAAGTCCTTCTCCAGGGATTGATCCCTCCTGATATCCTGGCCAAAGTACATGAAATGATGTCCCGCCATCCTTGCTTCTAATGTGTATTTTGGCTGCACTTCTTCCAAGACAGATTTGTTTGTTCTCCTGGCAGTCCGTGGTATATTCAATATTCTTCACCAACACCACAGTTCAAAGGCATCCATTTTTCTTCGGTCTTCTTCAGTCTTCCTTATTCAACCATCCAGCTTTTGCATACTTACGAAGTGATTGAAAACACCATGGCTTTGGTCAGACGCACCTTAGTCTTCAAGGTGAACTTTTTGCTCTTTAACACTTTAAAGAGGTCTTTTGCAGCACATTTGCCTGATGCAATGCGTCTTTTGATTTCTTGACTGCTACTTCCATGGGTGTTGATTGTGGATCCAAGTAAAATGAAATCCTTGACAACTTCAATCTTTTCTCCGTTTATCATGATGTTGATCATTGGTCCAGTTGTGAGGATTTTTTCTTTATGTTGAGGTGTAAACCATACTGAAGGTTGCGGTCTTTGACCTTCATCAGTAAGTGCTTCAAGTCCTCTTCACTTTCAGCAAGCAAGGTTGTATCATCTGCATATCACAGGTTGTTAATGAGTCTTCCTCCAATCCTGAAGCCGTGTTCTTCTTCATATAGTCCAGCATCTCGGATTATTTGCTCTGCATACAGGTTGAATAAGTATGGTGAAAGGATACAACCCTGACATACACTGTTCCTGATTTTAAACCACGCAGTATATCCCTTTGTTCTGTTTGAACGACTGCCTCTTGATTCATGTACAGGTTTCGCATGAGCACAATTAAGTGTTCTGGAATTCTCTGTTATCTGTAATTTGTTATGATCCAGACAGCTGAATGCCTTTGCATAGTCAATAAAACACAGGTAAACAAATCTCTGGTATTCTCTGATTTCAGCTAGGATCCATCTGACATCAGCAATGATATTCCCGGCTCAACGTTCCCCTCTCAATCTGGCTTGAATTACTGGCAGTTCCCTATTGATGTACTGCTACAACTGCTTTTGAATGATCTTCAGCAATATTTTATTTGCATGTGATATTAATGATATTACTCGATAATTTCCGCATTCTGTTTGATCATCTTTCTTGGGAATGGATCTCTTCCAGTCAGTTGGCCAGGTAGCTGTCTTCCAAATTTCTTGGCATAGACAAATGAGCACTTCTAGCGCTGCATCTGTTTGTTGAAACATCTAAATTGGTATTCTGTCAGTTCCTGAAGCCTTATTTTTCCCCAATACTTTCAGTGCAGCTTGGACATCTTCCTTGAGAACCATCGGTTCCTGATCATATGCTACCTCCTGAAATGGCTGAACATTGACCAATTCTTTTTGGTACAGTGATTCTGTGAATTTCTTCTATCCTCTTTTGATGCTTCCTGCATCGTTTAATATTTTCTCCACAGAATCCTTCAATACTGCAACTCGAGACTTGAATTTTTTTCTTCGGTTCTTTCAGCTCGAGAAATGCCGAGCGCATTCTTCCCTTTTGGTTCTCTATCAATAGGTTGCACATATCATTATAATACTTTATTTTGTCATCTCAAGTCGTCCTGCAGCTTTTTTACTTCATTTCTTCCTTTCACTTTAGCTACTCAATTTTCAAGAGCAAGTTTCAGAGTCTCTTCTGATGTCCATTTTGGTCTTTTCTTTATTTCCTATCTTTTTAATGACCTCTTGTCTTCTTCATGTATGATGTCCTTGATATCATTCCACAACTCATCTAGTCTTCAGTCATTAGTGTTCAACATGTCAAATCTATTCTTGAGATGGTCTCTAAATTCAGGTGGGATATACTCAAGGTTGTACTTTGGCTCTCACAGACTTGTTCTAGTTTTCTTTAGTTTCAGCTTGAACTTGTATATGAGCAAATGATGGTGTCATGGATTGAATTGTGTCCCCCAAAAACATCTGTCAACTTGGCTAGGTCATGATTTCCAGTATTGTATGACTGTCTACCATTTTATCATCTGATGTGATTTCCCTACATGTTGTAAACTCTATTACTATGATGTACTGAGATGTATTGGCAGCAGTTATATTGATGAGGTCTTCAAGATTAAGTAGTGTCTTAAGCCAATCTCTTTTGAGATATAAAAGAGGGAAGTGAGCAGAGAGAGACAGGGGCCTCATACTACCAAGAAAGCAGTGCCAGGAACAGAGCACATCCTTTGGACCCGGGGTTCCTGTGCTGAGAAGCTTCTAGTCCAGGGGAAGGTTGATGACAAGGACCTTCCCCAGAGCCAGCAGAAAAAGCCTTTCCCTGGAATTGATGCCCTAACTTTGGACTTCTAGCCTACTAGACTGTGAGAAAATAAATTTCTCTTCATTAAAGCCAACCATTTGTGGTATTTCTGTTACAGCAGCAATAGATGACTAAGACAGTCTGTTCCACAGTCGGCCCCTGGCCTTGTTCTGACTGATGATATTGAGCTTTTCCATGGTGTCTTTGCACAGATATAGTCGACTTGATTCCTGTGTATTCCATCTGGCAAGGTCCACGTGTATAGTCAACATTTATGTTGTTGAAAAAAGGTATTTGCAATGAAGAAGTCATTGGTCTTGCAAAATTCTATCATAGATGTCCGGCATCATTTCTATTACCAAGGCCATATCTTCCAACTACTGATCTTTCTTCTTTGTTTTTAACTTTTACGTTCCAATCACCAGTAATTATCAATGCATCCTGACTGTATGTTCAACCAACTTCAGACTGCAGAAGTTGATAGAAAATCTTCAATTTCTTCATCTTTGGCCTTACTGGTTGGTGCATAAATTTGAATAATAGTCATATTAACTCGTCCTCCTTGTAGGCGTATGGATATTATCCCATCACTGACAGTGTTGTACTTCAGGATAGATCCTGAAACGTTCTTTTTGATGATGAATGCAATGCCATGTCCTCTTCAAGCTGTCATTCCCGGCATAGTAGACCATATGATTGTTCAATTCAAAATGGCCAATACTAATCCATTTCAGCTCACTAATGCCTACGATATCGATGTTTATGTGTTCCATTTCATTTCTGATGATTTCCAATTTTCCTAGATTCATACTACGTACATTCAACGTTCTGATTAGTAATGGATGTTTGCAGCTGTTTCTTCTCATTTTGAGTCATGCCACATCAAAAAATGAAGGTACTGAAAGCTTGACTCCATCCACATCATCAAAGTCAACTCTACTTTGAGGAGGCAGCTCTTCCCCAGTCATATTTTGAGTGTCTTCCAACCTGAGGGGCTCATCTTTCAGCACTATATCAGAAAATGTTCTGCTGCTATTTATAAGGTTTTCACTGGCTAATTCTTTTCAGAAGTAGACCACCGGGTCCTTCTTCTTAGTCTGTCTTAGTCTGGAAGCTCAGCTGAACCCTGTCCACCATGGGTGACCCTGCTGGTATTTGAATACCAGTGGCATAGCTTCCAGCATCACAGTGACACACAAGCCCCTGCAGTATGACAAACTGACTATAGTGTTTTCTAATTTTTCCAGTCGAGTATGTCAGACTACCAACTATTTATCAAACATTTAACTATATGTACCAGATATGAGTTATGGAATCCTGAAGTAATAAACAGTAATCTCAAAGAAACTTAAGGAAGATATACCAAAAAATGTTTGGCTCACATATAATTATCTAAAGAATAAAATAGTGTCTTCATCAACAAATACTGTACCTCCACACTAACCAATTCAGCTTATATCTTTTCACCACATGTTCAAAGATATGCATTTAAGTTTAAGGAGATAATAATAAACATATAAATGAGAAAAATGTAAATTGTCTATTTTCTGGGAAGATTCAGCCATTCTAAGAATATTTAAGGTGCGAATGTTTTGAGGCCTAAATAAATAACTATTTAAAATAAAGTCAGGGAACGGTGTATATATCTGTGTTATCAACAGCCATATCAAGATACAGAACATTTTTAGTACCTCAAAAGACTTAGGATGCTATTTTTAAAAAGGAAAACTCCCAAATAATTAAAAACATGATAGACAAAAATGAAAAATTCAATAGAAGGTTTGGAGATAAAATTGGGGAAATTTCCCAGAATATAGACCAAAAGCACAAAGAGTGGAAAATAGGAAATACAGACCAAACAACAACAAAAAAATAGATCTGAGAATCAGCCCAGTAAGTTCAACATCCAAATAAGAGAAGTTCCTAATAAAGAACAGAAAAAAACAGAGATATGAAAATCATCAACAAAGTAATTTAAAGGAAAATTTCTCAAAAACTAAGAACAGGAATTTTCAGATTCAAAGAGGCCCACACCAAAGTATGTCATTGTGAAATTTTAGAACACCAGAGACAAATGGAATATA